TGTATGTAAACCTCTGGTTTCAACTGTACAAATCTCAGAATCAGTAAATGCTTCCACTTCTGACTCTTTGTTTGTCACAGAGTCCAATCAAGTTGCTACTTGACCCTTGTTCCTCTCAAACTTTAAACTGTTCTTGTATCTCCCCCATCTAATATTATGGCCCTACTTCTGCATTGAAGCAGCTTCAACATCCTCTGGCTGAAGGTTTTTTCAAATTCTGAGTAAAGCTTTGGCTCATTGGGACTCCCAAGCTTGCTAACTTGACATCCATACATGCTCTCAAGACCTGCACAGTGTTCAGTCTTCCCTCCATTCTTATGACTGCTTCTTTGGGGGTCTGCCAACCCAGGCTGCCGATCCTCAACAAAGCCAAACCGGTGGTATTTACAACAAAATAGAATGTCAGAGAGTACAGAATACAAAAATGGAAGTATGATAAAGTACACAGTGCAGTGTGAAAAAATAGAGGTAATGATATTTTGATGTTTTGTTTTTCCAAATTTGACAACTTTTTAGGGCTAGTGTGTAGGATTTAGTTTCATCTTGCATTGAGGTCGCCTACTGCAATCAACTAAAAACCTTTCCAAGCATTTACAAGAACTTATGCTCGGTGTCAGTTTAATGCAAATTTGCAAAAAGGCCCTCTCTGGTGCCAGTGGATGGCTTGTTCCTTCTTGGCTTCAAGTGTGAACACATGGCAGTGCAACATGGTGCACTCAGTGGAAGAGGATCCACATCATGTGTAGATGACAAACACAGTGATTCATAGTTACAGATGATTTTACACTAATGAAAATATAATTATGAACACTTTTATGAATACTAATACATCCCTCTAAATCTTCCACACAGGTTCTCTAAAACGTTTGTAACATTTGGAAACGTAAGCAGTACAGTTTGTTTTGAGGCGCACACAAGGTGATCTCACTTTATTCTTACACCCTACAGACTGTAGACTTCAGTCTGTTCTCTTGGTATTTACAGTGTAATTGTACTGTATAAGCTGGACGTGGCTGGGAAGTTTTGCCTTATTTAAACCCCCAGTGTCTTTTCCGTTCTCTGTTCAGCTGTTTGGTACAGTCTGGTGTTAGACGAGAAGCGTTTTCCTCCCCGGGCAGTCCTGGATGAATTAGACCGTCAACTACCCAGAATTCTTTTTCTGCAGTCTGGAGGTCAAAAATGCGAACGCCTTGGCTTCTCAGTCCAGGTCAGAACTCTCTCAACATACAAAACACTAACAAATCACTGTAGGCCAACAATCACAATCAAGTGAAACACATTCTGTGTGAATTTCTAAATACAAAAACAGGACACAGATTATGGACGTCCCATTGTGGTTGTCCTGGAGACAGGGTTGCAGAGCCCAGATGAGGGGCCAGTGTTGGACCCAGACTGGCCAAGCACCCTGAGAGCCGAGGTGAGAGTTCATAATAGTATTTGCATCCAAGCAATACCACATTTGGATAAGTCTATCCCTATGTTTGTTTATCTCTTGAGGTTTAAATGTACATATCTTAACTGGGAAGCCCTGATTTTGCTTATAAATTTAACAGCTAGCTTACCAAGATCCTCAACAAGATGGTCAACAAGACTGCCAACAATGTGTTTTAANCAGCTGATATCCAATGGGCAGGTTATATTGACATATCGGCGCACACATCTTACTCATGCCCACATAAAGGGAAAGTAAAAAGGTGGAAAGGAAGAAGGGAGAGGAAAGGCTGCCACTAAGCAGAGGTGGAGGAGATGACAAATGTAAACATAATTACTAATAAAGCAAGACAATTTGCATATGTGTCATCTTAAATGTTAAAATAAACGAAAACTCTACAAGTATCTAGCTCTAATGTTTCATAATACCTGAAAAACATGCTATAAAATGTTACAGTAAGAGTTAGTTTCAGCAAGTTTTAAATATATTTATTTGTTGATCAAACAAACAAGTCCCTAGTGCTACCTGACTGCAACATTACAGTCCCTACAAGGCCAAACCAAAGCCTAAAGTTTGTGGATTCAAACATACCAATATTTAATGCTGCCGAGGACTGTCTTCTCTTTCTCACTAAGTCCATCTGACAAGCACCTCTTCAGCAGATCCTCTTCACACTGACCATTAGAAGCTACAAATAACTGCCACCATCGAAGATCATGCCCAGGTTTCCCGAGAGACTCCACCAAACATCACTAGAAGCACCCTCAGCCAGTCATATCTATTCATCAAAATCCTCTCTGTTCATCTGTATGCCGGCTAAAACTGGCCTTTCCAAGGTATTTCCGACATTTAAAGTTCAAATGCCCGGAGAAGTCTTCTGCTCAAAAATTAGTCTCCCCAGTCCTGTACTTAAACACTGATACTTCTGCCAGTTTTGGGAGGTTTCTATACCAGAATGTTGTTCTCTTTAGTGCACTGTGTTCACACAGTTTGGTCCAAAAATTTCAAGCCATTGTTAGCAGTGTATCAAATGCACCCATTAAACACTGCTGCCCTTAAGTGGGGGCACTAATGGTCAAAAGATCCCCAATGTCCTTGTCCAATCCCCTACTCCCACCTTTTACTACATTATTTAGTTTTGTTTCCTGTGCCTTTATCCCTGTTGATTCAAAATCCCTTTCATGACGGTTTACCTCAACACATCAGTTTTTTTTTGTTTGTTTTGTTTATTAATTATTTGCAAATCTCTTCTCCTGCTGCATTGTCACTGGTTGGTTGAAATGCACATCCGACTTTCAGGTGTGCATGCTAGAATCAATGTTTTGCTTGCTTCTTCAGTTTCCGTTAGTTTTCAGAGTTCACTGTAACATCTGGTAAATTTGATGCATACCGCCACCTAACTGTGTTCAACCTTTACTGTGGGCTGTCTTGTTTATTCAGTTGAGTCAGGCAAAACCAACTGAGATGACAATCCAATTCTTGCAATGTATTTCAAATCAGACACAAACCTAAGGTCATACAAGCTCCTCGAATATTATATACA